CTATTTAATGTGGACCCAAGTCTTGGAAGGGAAGTTAAGGAAGCTCGACCGAAGGATGGGAAATGGACTACGTACAAGAAGAACCTCGTTGAGCTTTACAAATTGGAGGATAACAAGTATTCCATCAAGGACCTTGAAACAATGACTCAAGATGAAGATGAGAGCGTACGGGCATTTGGGATGTGTTTCCAAAAGATCTCCGATGTGCTGATTACGAAGGGGAAGATCTCAGAGGTCGAGCGCTGTACTACCTTCATCGGACACTTGTCCAAAGGTAGGCAAAAAAATATACTTAGAGATCTTCCACGCGACAGGCTTGATTTCCCAGAAGTCCTAAAGCTCGCGATAAAGGCAGAGGCAGAYGATTACAAGGACTTGGTGTGGAGAGGGATGAGGAGACGTGACTTCTCTCTCTACAAGGAGTATGCCACTGATAGATGTCCTGATTTCAAGGATTATCCCTGGTCGGAGAAGAATGAGGTCGTGGCTGAGGAAGTGAAGGAGATACGAGACATGGTGAAGGGATTAACGATACAGGTTACAGAGATTGTGACCGCCACAGGGGTCACCGCCTACCGGGACAAACCTGGAGGGCCCTATTCACTTCGCTGGGACCGTAGGAACAACGATCCCTGGAGGAGTGTCGAGGATAGAAATCCTCGGATGCTGATTAATTATCGTACGAGGGGAAGAGAGAGAGACGATGAATCATGGCGACGAAGGGACGATGAGATAGACCGAGACCGCAGAGATCGCGAGCTGTTTGTGCGAGCAAGGAGGCTAGATGATTACCCCCGAAGCCCTCGCTATGAGGCCGATCGGGGTAGAGGCGACTCCCGCGACCGATGGGAGTTAGAACAGGGCCGACGAGATGGATATAGGGACGACAGATACGAGAGGTCGGGTCAAGATGGCTACAGAGGAAGTAGATATGAGAGAGGAGATCGAGACTCGGAACGACAAGATGGGTCGCGCGGACGGTTTGAGCGCGGGGGAGATGCGAGAGAGCAGCGCGACGAGTCGCGGGGATGGTACAACCGAGGGGATCGACGCGATGAGACACGAGGACGATATGACTCGGGGGACCGCCGGAATGATTCGCGAGGGCGGTATGAGCAAGGAGGGTCTGGAGGAGACCGGCGCAACGATTCGCGTGGTCGGAATGAGAGAGGGGGATATGGCGTCTCATCAGAACCATATCCCAAGTCGCCTGACCCCAAGGCGGCTAGGAATTCGATCTCTAGAGGTGCAGACGACAGGGCATCTACTCCCAGAAACTCATGCGTCTACTGTAGAGGAGAAGATCATATCAAGAGGGATTGCCCGGCAGCGTTCATTCATAAACGAAGCGGTGAACGAACCTTCGGCAAGAGTACGATACACTAACATATATGTGCGTGTATATCCCTTTGTGTCTCGCTGTGCTGCGCTTCACTCACCAAATACGACAAGCCAGCGGAGAATGATCGCTCATCAAAAACATGGGAAGGTGAATTGCCCAACTCTCATCGCTGGAGTGTTGCAGACCGTTTGGTTATCCAACCGTGTGAACAGAGGTTTTTTTCTTCAGGAAGAATGTGGATAGATACATCATTATACCCTTTTTACTTTCGGTGCGCTGCAGTCCCGTCCGATTACTCGTTAAATGACGGAATATGATTGGTTCTTCAGCAAAAATGAGGGGAGGAAATGAGAATGTATCTTTCGCAAAAACATGGAGGAATGCAGACCCACTTTCTTCGCCTGCTGTGTTCTGCGACCACTCACTAACGAGGGGGTGAGGGTGAATCTGCAGTAAGACCATGAAATGATACGATACCTTCGATGATCTGTGACACGTCATAGAGTGTTCGTGCGTTATGACTCAGCGCGGATTTTCTTCGCGTGCCACGAGATGTTTTGAACAAATTTCCAGTTACTAATTAGATATGCTTACAGCCGCTTGTTCACTCACCAATCAGAATGGACACACTGCATGAACACGGGAAAAGTACACTACCTCACCCTTGGACTTGCTTCGTGGCCTCGCCAGATCATCCACCAATCAAGGGGATAAGGATGAATCTTGAATGATACCATGGCAACGTTCTTCACTAAATTCAAGCCCTTAGCGCCCCARCRGCACGCCTCATCTCTCAKCAGAAGATGGGGAAAGYTCCCCTTCGTATGTACTCCACGCGTGAGTATGACCAGGTTTCTTGCCCAGTCTCGTGCCAAGCGGCTGCCAAGCGGCGCTKCGTACGCCTGGTGCGCGGGTCCTCTMCCTTCCTCTCCGCTATGCTCAATTCTTCCTTCCTCTGTCCGAATCGATGGGGTGCGGCRRRCACCTGRTACACCTCCCTCTGCCGTCARCACTCCCCGACCGTGCACGCTTCTCCCTGTTGCCTGCGCTGCGCTCACCATGCAAGCTTCCCCTGCATTGACTCCGCCTGCATCCGTACTGTGCCGCGGGCTGGGTACACCGTGCATACCCCCCCTGCTCTCTARTCCCCTTTCCCTTTATGGTTTTCCCGCACAGCTGAACRTGGTCTCCCCTCCTCCCAGGTCCAATCCGTAGGCCTTCGTAGGCTGAGGGTAARAGCAGGGYCAGGTCCAGCACTGGTGCAGTGGAACCCATATACAGTCTCAGCGGGACCTGCAAMTGAAACCTGCTTGTAAAAAGAAAGCCAGAWACTTCCGTATGGCAGGTACCCGTACCAAACTTGTCACGTTTACGCTCCAAAGCCAACCACGGTACTGAAAAGCAATTGTATTGTACCAGTTACCAACACAAAAGTTGAACCGCACTCCAACTGTTTCTCCCAACACCCAGTTACCATGCTTGTTCCGTATCTGTCCCGGATCAGAGTGTCGGGCCGAACCGGAAATAGCCATTGAGCTGCCAACACCGAACCTGAAAGTGAAGTAGTGATATGTATCATACCGATGGCGGATACCGTAGAAAACTGAAAAGGCAGGGTAGTACCGAACCTATTCCGGACCTGAAACTACCATCCCCGACCCTGTAAAARAAAACAGACGCGTGTTCCACTTCGGCGCCGAGCCAATGTCGTAACAATACCGRAMCCGAAAAARATCTGCGRCCTGTACCTCAGCGATGCTAACCAATGCCGAACACGAGACAACYATACCATGCCGATGCCGAACCAATACCRAGCCAACACCRAATCTGAGAACATGTCAAATGCCGCACAATACCGTGGTCCCAAAGCTGAAATAAAGCRCCATAATGGCACCAAGCGTGGAATAAATGGYCGCAGTGACGGTGCCGAGCCTGGGTTAATTATCCGTGATAACGCCGAACYTGGGATAAATAGCCGCCAACGTCTCTAACCTGGAATAACTRTCGTAGTAGTCCCGGTCCTGAGAATAAATCACCGTACCTGTCCCAAACCTGAAAATAAGTCACCGTAGTGAAACAACTGTCACCGGCCAGACACCGTAGTACGAAGCCACTCCGTAACAACCCTCGTATCCGTACTRAACCAAACACCATAGTCGACCCAAGATAGCACCACCCCATGCTGTCCATCCGATCGTCCTAGGACTGTCACAGTGAAGTTAGTAAATAGGTGGATCGGGAAAGTGGCACGAAAAAAACTTGATCATCAGGGATTGGCGAAAAAGGTGGGGATCCAGAAAAGACTGATTAATCGGGATTCAGAGCAGACGGTGGGAATTCCAAGGAGAATTAGGCCAAGCATCGAATAATCATCGGTTCTTGTTCGTTCCATCATTTTTAATCATCCCCCCTTCTCTTAACTCTATTACCCGAAATAGTAAAATAACCGTAAACTTACCAAAAATAAATTCCGAGAAACTCTTAATTAAATTGTTGAAATTCTTTGT